AAGCAGCAAACAATACCCTAATCAAGGAACTACTAGAGGGACGAAACAAAACCCCCACCAACATTGGCAGGGCATGCAAGAGTATATAAACAGAGAGCAAACTCCATCCCATTCCAGCACTGAAGATGTTAACTAGCCAGGTAATGAAATGTTTGCAGGAAAAGAACCAAGCTCAGAGAACCCCAAGGACTCCACAGAACTACATATTCTTTAAAAGCTAAAACATATATATCCACCATGCCCTGATGCCTTTTTTTAATTTATGGGGAACAGAAGATTCTTCTCTTCCTCCTTCAACTTCATTTGTTAGTATTTTGCATGAGAACAAGCATCAATTTTAGTAATCACATGACCAACAGAAAATGGAAAGTCCCCAAAAAACTAAATTATTAGAGATAAGGTAGAAAGTGTCTCATACCTGTTGGAGAGTTATGGGCTGAAGACAGAGATTTGGATTTGGAATCTGACAGGCGAGAAATGCTGTTAGCTCTAATTCTAGGAGAAACTTTCGTACTGTCTGCTGGTGGTGTTAGTCTAATGCCACTTCTAATTATGGCTTCTGGAGTACGAGATGTAGAGCTTCTAGTTACTGTTGCTTCAGAGTCACTTCGTGCTGATAAAGAACCAAGTCTATTTCTCCGTGGCTGGGCAAGCAAGTCAATTCTTGAAATATTTCTCCTTCCCGAGGGGGGCTTAGATGTAGAACTTGTAGTAGATACCTCTGAAGCAACTGATGCTTTATCTGCATCTGCAAGTTCACTATCTGACACTTCACCAAGCCGTGCTCTCCGTAACAGAGAAGTCCTTGTAGGGCGAGGCCTTGGAAGAGTGGTTGACTTACTGACTTGCCCAGTTGATGGTGAAGAAGACTTCAACTTAGCTGATTTAATACCTTCAGTTTTGGAATGCAAATGTTCATCTGCTGAGGTAAAAGGAGTCCTTCCATGTGATTTGCCAGAACATGTTTCCTGATCAGAAGATAAAATATCAGAAATAGCAGAATGAGGTACACTAGAAGTTTGATCATCATCTGTTAAATCTACTGAAGGCTGCCTTATTCTTCCACTACTCTGTGCAATCTTGCGTGCATCACCCCTTGAACTAGCTTCTGAGGAGCGGCATTTTGTTTTCTTCTCCATTTTGTCACTGGCATTTGAACAAGATGACTTTAAAATATCCTTTGAAGGAGAATTAGTTGAACACCGATCTTTATAGAGGGTGGTAAAGCTTTTACGTTTCTGAGTAGTTTTTCTTTCACTGTCTCCAGTAACTAGACTAATTGTACTAGCAGTATCCACATCTGATTCAGGTGAAATGGAATTATCTCTGTTGTAACTGGGAGTGTCAGGTCCTTCCTCTGTTTTATTTTCTTCACGCAGCTTTGCCTCAAGAAAAGCCATTACAGCTTCTGTATCTTTTAAAATAAGTGTTGTATCTAGAGCAGGATCTGTTTCCACTGAAACACTTCTCTCACTTGCTGTAGTGGTGGATGTTAAAGAAAATGATGGAGTAGTTCCTTGTTTATTAATATGAGGAATTAATTCTATGGGTATATTTGCACTTGGTTTATCTATAGTAAAGCTGCCTTGTCTTACTAATGGCTTTGATGCTTCCTTCTTATCTCCACTAAGTCCTTTAGTTGTTTGCAATTTGGCTTCCTCGGCTTTCCTTCGTTTCCCTTCACTTTGTGTCACTTTAATTTCTGTTTTACCTGTACCACGCCCTGATGCCTTTTCTTTGATATCCAATTTATGGGAAACAGAAGATTCCTCTCTCCCTTTTTCAACCTGGCTGGGAGTTCTTGCAGAAGATAATTTAGCCGGGATCCAATGTGTCAGCTCGTTTTGTTCCTGCTGAATTTTAGCCAAAGCTTGTTTTACCACAGATGTTTCTCTGCCATTTTCATTTTTTTCTTTTTCAGAAGAGAGGCAACTACTGGAGTGAAAAACTGTCTTGTCTGTTTTTGGAGAAAGGCCATTTATTGTTCTGCTTGCTTTAGTCAGGCTTTTATCAGTGGCGCATCCTATTTCTTTTTGAGAATGAGTTGGGGTTTCTTTCTCTTGAAGTTCTGTGTCCTGTTTTTCACCTATCTCTGATCTGTGATGGGCTGTAACTTTTGTTTTTTGTCCTTCAGTGACATTTTCCTCCTTTGGCAACTGAGGGAGTGTCCGCCTCTTTCGATCTAGGCTGGTCAAAGAGGTAATTGAGCTAGCACTTCTAACTGACAGGCCAGATTCACTGATGTCAGTCTCTAAAATCAAATAAAACAGAAAAAAAAAGTCTGTTAAGGAAGAGTTCTAAAATTCAGTATATGTGACAGACTAGACAACATTACAATGAATTTAGAGGAAGCCTCTTTTCTTGACACATACCTTTCAGATTTAAAATTTTAAATGTAACTAATGCAATTTATGAGATAAGAGTATAAAAATCTAATTACATTTCCATAAGAGTTGTGGAAAAGTGAATCCCTGAGAAGAATGAAACGTGCTAATTAAAACCAAAATGTGACTAAACAAGATAATGGATTGATTTAGTATAAAAAGAGCTGCAAGTGTTAGTTATGGTACCGTTTTCTAGATGAACAAGCGCAGATGACTCCATCCGTACTTCATTTTCTTCATGTTTTGTATGATTAGCAGCCAGACTAGCCCACTGTGATGCCCAGCGCTTGCTTCCAGAAGTGCCGGTGCTTTCCTAATATGGGATTTTAAAGAAGACCAATTACACATCCAATAAATCCAGAAATCTATTCAAAAATTTCCTGTGGTAAGTATTTACAGGATCAGGTCTTATTCACTTTAAAGCAGGAAGCTGAAAAGTTTGAAGAAAATTAAGATGTAGAACAAGTTATGATTGTTTAAAACTTCATACTGTGAGAGTAACTTTATAATGTTTTCCATGAAGTATGAAATAACCTTAAAATAAAGAGTCTGCTGAGAATGCAGTAGGGTACAAATGCAATGAATAAATAAATGCATAAATAAATAAAACTGTAGATCTCTATCAATTTAATATATGGTGCTTTAAAACCAATGTATTCATTTCCCCCCCTTTTTTGGAAAGATCATCTTATCTGTTGCTATTTTATCACCTTGGTTGAAGATGTGAAAGTCTTTCAATAGATTCAGACCAGCTGTTCTTAGCAAAAACAGGTTTTGGAAAATCTTTACTGCTCACATGACAGACTGTTGGGGGAAAAAGGAAAGAACCAACAACCCAGAAGGCATGATATGTGTAACAACCCACATTTGCCACATTTGAAAGAAGGTTGAATATTCTTTCTCTCTTCTGTTTTCACCCTCCATTTACAGAATAGTTCCCATTTTCCATGAGTTTTCAAGCCAGGATTACAAACAAGGCGCAAATAATGGTTATGAAGACTAGGAAGGTGCCAACTGAATGTATTTACAGTACCAGTCACTTAGTACTTTCCAGTTAATCAACTTAATTACCTGAGAAGAAATCTAGATGAATGGTTCTCTATGAAATACCTCTAAAATAATTATGGCAAAGGTACCAATATAAATGATCACACTTATAATCACGTGATAAGATGTTGTTATGCCTTCCAGTATGCACCATTAGCAGAGAATACAAATCTGTTATACTTCCCTATGAAGTTTTAAAAGTAATGACCAGCGCTTTGTACTTTATCCAGGAACAAACAGCCAGACAGTGCAAATGCTTTAAGAGCAACTCTAATATGATCTCTTTGTACTCTTCCCAACTCCAACCTGGCTTGCTGAGTATTGTATCAATTAAGTTTTCAGACCACAGCACGTTAGTATAGTTAAGCCTGGAGCATTCAATTGCACCTACCAGAGTTTTAAGGTCATTATCTTTCAGAAAGGGAGGCACATATTTATTTTATTATTTATTTCAATTGATTTAAATAGCTGCCCATCTCACAGAACATGAACTAAAAACAGGAACTACAAAAGCAAAATACATAAAATGGCCACCAAGGAGACTGTGCAAAGAACAAAGAGCCAGTTTAGTCTAGCAGTTAAGGCAGCAGGTTGGAAACCAGGAGACTGTGAGTTCTAGTCCTGTGTTAGGCATGAAAGCCGGCTGGGTGACTTTGGGCCAGTCACTCTCCCTCAGCCCAACTCATCTCACAGGCTTGTTGTTGTGGGGAAAACAGGAGGAAGAAGAAGTATTAGGTATGTTCACTGCCTTGAGTTATTTATAAAAAATAATAAAGGCAGGGTAATATGTGTGTGTGTGTGTGTATGTATGTATATGGATTCAACTACTCTCCCGACCCTTATGTCCAGGAAACAGTGTAATACCCCAAACTGAAGAGAATTCCTGGTTGTTGCCTCAGTCTGGAAATCAGACATTTAGTTCCTGAACTGTGTACTACCTGCAGTCCCAAAGCAACCACTATCTCAGCCACTATCCTTAACCACAGAGGATCTCTAATAACTTCCTGGGAAGTTACAAGCCAAGTTGTGCAAGATTCCAGAAAACAAGTAGTACAATGTACTGCTCCAAACAGTCTGTCCACATCCTTGAGTGTCACAAATTGAATTTCATCTAGTCTAATTAGATACAAGTTATTAGACGCCCTAACTTGACTCTACATCAAAGGTGGTATTCAGACTTAAAGTTGCTGAGGTTGAGAAACACTGATCTAGAGGGTGGAGCTTGGAGTCAAAAAGTGTCACACTTAGAAATGTTCAAAATAAAATTTACACCTAAGACTACTCAAAATTAATCATAGAAGAGACTGACTAGAGGCATATGAGTCCAAAAGATGTAAAGACTATTCTGAAAATCTGTATAAATGGGTTGCAGAATGACAGCAGCATTTGGACAGAGAATATGCTGAAGAACTTACTGTAAATCAGAAAGCACCAATTCAGAAGAAATTCAACTGAATTGCTTAAAACTGCAGGATAAGAGGCAATAAAGGTGCTAGCAGCTTGATGTGAAAAAATATGGAACAAAATGATGTAGTACAGAATTGGAAAAGAATGCTGTTTATGACAATACTACAGAGATGCAAGAGATTGTGCAAACTGCTGAACTAATGCAGTAAATGTTCATGCAAGCTAAATTTTACCCAAGAAAAAGCAAAGCCATACATGAAGAGAGGCAAATTTCAGAAAAGCCACAGGGATGTGAAATCAGGTAGCTAATGTAAGCTGGATAACAGAGACAGCAAGAGAACAGAGCTCTGCGGTGATCCATATATGAAGCTGGGAAGGTGGTGAGGGGGCATTCACATAGCACCTGTTAGCAACTCCTTAAAGAAGTAGTACCTTTTCCTGGGTCCATGTGGTTGCTATGGTCCACTCCCAGGAAAACACTCACTGGATTTTTAAGGAGATGTCAACAGGTGGTATATGCATACTCAGGTGTACTCTGAACCATCTTTTCCCTTTTGAATTTGGATACCTGCACAGCCCTACAACAGAATTTAAGAAAGGTTTATTTTTGCTGTACTCAGAACTGCAAGGCCCTTCCTTGTACAGATCATGCCAGAACATGGAATATATTAAGGCTAGTAGGTATGCAGGAACACCTGATCATTCCTTTGAGAAGTGTTTACAATGAACAAAAAGCTACTGTATGAACTGTTTGGAGAAACTAGGTTCTTCCGAATAGGGAAGAAAGTGAGACAAGGATGCATATTATCCCTGTATTTCTTTAACTTCTACAGCAATGTGGAAAAATATGCATGTAAACTGAAGTCCCAGTAATTCAGAGAGTCTGAACATTTTTTTTTCCTTCTGTTTCCCCAATTGTTACAGGGTTTAACTAGGTACAAAAGTTCTGCTTTTGAAAGTAGAGGTATGACTGAAACAATAAGTGAAGTTTGTGATGCTATAAAGAAGATGAATAAAGGCAAAGCCCCTGACCCAGATGAACTATCAGCTTATTATAAATATTTTGAGGATGAGCTTTTACTATCTTTGCAAAACATTATTAACTCCATTTTAGATAATAGAAAGATACTGGATAGCTGGACAGGGGCAAATATAGCACTGATTCCCAAAGAAGGACAAGATTTAACTTTGCCAAAAAATTATAGATCAATATCATTACTGAATAATGACTACAAAATATTCACAACAGTTTTAGCTGAAAGGTTGAAATACATTCTACAACACTTTATCCATGAAGACCAATGTGGTTTTTTTACCTGAGACAATTAAGAGACAATATTAGAAATATTCTTAATATATTAGAGTACTTGGAGCAACATAATGAAAAGCAAGCTGCCTTAATATTCTTTGATGCTGAGAAAGCTTTTGACAATTTCAACTGGACTTTTCTGTTTAAAATTTTGGAAGATATGGACTTTGGAGAGAATTTTATTACATGGGTGAAAATGATATATACTTCACAAATGGCACAAATAATTGTGAATGGGGAACTGACCAAGCCCCGTGAAATATAGAAAGGAATGAGCAGGGAAACCCACTTTTGGTGTTATTCATTCTGGCTCTTGAAGTTTTGAATAGAGACATAAGCCAAGAGGAGAGAATTGCTGGAGTGAAAGTTAAAAAAGAACTCTACAAATTAAGGGCATTCGCCGATGACTTGATTTTAATTTTGGAGAGCCCCCTAGAAAGGATTGACGTATTAATGGAAAAATTAAGAGAATTTGGTGCATTGGCTAGGTTTAAAATTAATAATGAGGAAACAAAGATGTTGACAAAGAATATGAAAATGGAAGACCAAAAAGAATTATCTGTAAAAACTGGGTTTCAGATTGAGAAAAAAGTGAAATATTTGGAAATTACTATAATATGAATTGTATGTTATTTCAAAATAATTATGTTAAAGTATGGAATGAAATTAAGAAAGACTTATTAAGATGGGAAAAGTTACAATTATCACTGTTGGGAAGAATATTTGTGGTAAAAATGAATGTGTTACCTAGAATGCTGTTCTTATTCCAGACATTAACTGTTTTGAGAACTGATACACCATTTAAACAGTGGCAAAAATTAATACCCAGATTTATATGGCAGGGGAAGAAACCAAGGGTTAAATATAAGTTCCTCCAAGATGTAAAGGAAAGAGGAGGACTGGGATTATCTGATTTTAAACTGTATTTTGCTGCCTGCTGTTTGGTTTGGATGAAGGAATGGCTGTTGTTAAGAAACAAGAGACTCTTAGAATTAGAAGAACATGGTCTGAGGACTGGGTGGCATGGTTACTTATGGCATGATAAAGTTAAAGTAAATGTAGATTTTAAAAATCATTATTTCAGGAATGCCAATATTACAAATATGGAATATATACAAACCCAGGCCATGCCCCAATATACTTTTGTTGGCCTCAGGCCAAGAAGTGTTTTACAGAAAAGAAACAGCAGGCAAAGAAAAATGGTTAACATATAAAGACTTGTTAGTACAGGAAAATTGAGAGCTTAAAATAAAATCAAGAGAACAACTGCCTGCAGAGGGGGTTGGTTTTCAATGGCTTTTATATGCACAATTAAGAGAAAGATCTGATATACAGTAGATAAAAAGGTACCAGGAATAGGATACAATAAAATGGAATATGAAAATGAATTATGTACAAATGATGAATATATGATTGTTAAAATGTATAAATTTCTGTTGAGATTTGAAACAAAGATTCTACTTTATACTGAATTGCCTTCATATGGTCAACCAGCACAAACCCATGAGGGCCTGAAAATCTATTTTCTTACTTTCGATAAAGCCTTTCAG